AACGACGGACGCGCATAAGGAAACAAGGGGTAAGGGGAGACTGAGGAGGCTCGGAGGCTACAAGCGGCGCACGACTTACCATCGAGAGGAACCCCCGCGACGGCCGTATAGCGATAGGGGTCAAGTTGCCACCCCTCAGCTTCGCCTCCACCGTCTCCCCCACCCGACGAAGAATTTCCTCATCGGAAAGGGCGGAGGAGGACATCCGGGTGCCCTCAATGGGCTCACCCGGCTTCATCTCGAACAACCACCGCCACCGAGCCATCATCGGCAAAGATTCTCCGGCGTGGAAGGCGGCCACGACTACAGCCGGTGAGATCGTGGCCTCAGAGGCCTCGCCAAATTTCCCTCCGAAGCGGCTACAGCTTGGGCTGGTCGTCCTTCGGGACGCCGTACTTCCATCTCTCTGGGCAACTCCCCACAATCCGCCCAGTGTAGGGGGGAAGTCCTCCGTCGTCATTACGAAGGTAGAACCAACTCGTGTACCACCGGCGATTGGATGACGCGAGTTGGGCCGGAATGTAGAGGTGCAGGTGGTCCTAGCGCACTTGGAGAGTGCAGCCGCCGGCCCTTGTCGCCTTCCTCGTACCCGACGTGCCCGACGGCTTGGTAGTGTGCCCCGTCCGGAATAGGTGGAGCCACAACTCCCAATGGGGAGCAATCCCCAAGTACCCCTCGCAGACGGCAACAAAGATAGCCGCCTGAGTGATGGAGTTGGGATTGAAGTTGTGGAGCTCCACGCCGTAGTAATGCGGGAGCGCCCGCATGAATCGATCCGCTGGGACGCCGAGGCCATGCTCGTGAAAGGAGACGAAGCTTACGACATAGCCGTCGCGGAGCCTCAGCTCTGGCTCGCCGTACGGAGCAATCCACTCCGGCCTGGTGGGGTCTATCACCGGGCGAAGGAGTCCGCCGTCGACAAGCGACTGAAGCATCTCCTCGGTGACATCCGACGGATCCTGGTCCACCACCGACAACGATGATGTCGCCGCCATGGGTGCGATGGAGGAATCGGTGCGCGGTGAGTTTTTTCTCTCTCCCCACGCTTCTTGCTTTTTCCTCGCTTTCTCCCTAGGCTCGCTCTTCTCCCTCTTCTTCCCGGCACCACCTGCTTCTAGCGACATACCGACGGAGGCAGTGCTAATCACGAGCAGCAAGGTAAGACGAGGAGGGCGGACTCTTCGGTATTTATGCGGGGAGGAGGCGAAATGAACAAGCGACGAAATCGGGAAGTTTCCCCCCGGCCGCCAGCTTAACCACGAGCCGATTTCACCCGTACGTGCCCACGCCTCCCTCATTAAATGCGAGAACAGATTCGTCCCATCCACCACGTCACGCTTCGGCCACTACGGCAAGAAGAAGCGCCATTTCACCTCCCCGTGAAGTCGCCTCAAAAGGCACGCCACCGTGGCCGAGCCAATAGGAAGAAGATATTCCCCACTACCTATTCCTTTCATATGAAGGAACCAGTGCTCGAGCCTATTATGGTCCAGGGTTCAAGGTCGGGCCCCAAGAGGTTTCGACAGCCGCCCTGTGATAACAGAGTCGAGGGACGACCATGGCGGGCGAGCCTATACGGGCCGAGACCCAAGCAAGCTTAAACGCTTGGGGGACGCCCAAAAGTCATGTCCGAGACCGGCAGAAGGTCTCTGAATCGGATCCCACCGTAGGGAGGCACCGAGCCACCGAGGCTCCAATGAACGGCCTCGGCACCCACTAGAGAAATCCTCCGGTACTCTTGGAGTGTGTCTCGGACCACTAGCCGTCCCCTAGCAAACGGGGTTCGGGCCTCCACTCGAACTACCCAAAAACAGCTCACCGGAGGTGCCACCGCTCGTGCCCACCGAGGGTAGCGAGGCACATTCCATCCCTCCTTCCGAGCGAAAAGGAAGCATGAGGGTCGTACAAAAAGTCGGGGAACCCCCGACGGCCTTCTCGCCTCTATGCAGGGGCTAAGGGGCTCTTCACAAGAACCTTGCCGAGACCCAGCGACCCCGGCCTCGCACTCAAAGGGGCTCGACAAAACAAACCCTCCTTCCGAGCGAAAAAGGAAGCATGAGGGTCGTACAAAAAGACAGGGGAGCTCCCGACGGCCCTCTCGCCCTGTGCAGAGGCTAGGGGGCTCTTCCTGCGAGTGAGCCGAGAGACCCATGACCCGGGCCGGTGCCCAAAGGGGCCTCGGCAAACAAACCCTCATGTGCGAGGGGCGATAAAAGCCGGGGGAACTCCCGATGGCCCTCTCGCCCACGCAGAGGCTAGGGGCTCTTCCGCAACCTTGCCGAGACCAGTGGCCCGGCCGCACTGAGATGGGCTCGGCAAACAAACCCTCCGTCCGAACGAAAAGGACATGTGAGGGTCGGATGAAAAAAGCTGGGGACCCCCGACCGCCTCCCGCCTCCCCGGTGGAGGCTCGGGGCTCCTCCTGCGCCCAAGACAAAGACAAACGGTCTAAGTCCACGCTAGAAGTTCCGTTATAAATACGATAAAGGGCACCGAGTCCACACATTCCAAGGGTTCAAGGCTGGGCCTCCAGAGAGCTTTCGACGATGCCCCAGAGCAACAGAGTCGTGGGGCGACCTTGGGGTGAGCCTCACGAATGGCCGAGGCCCGAGCGAACGATCGCTCGATCGCTCGGGGGGTCCTAAGTCGTGTCCGAGACCCACCGGCAGGAAGTCTTCGATGGGATCCCACCGTAGGGAGGCACCGAGCCACCAAGGCCCAAATGACGGCCTCGGCACCCACTAGAGAAACCCTCTCCGGTACTCTTGGAGTGCGTCTCCGACCGCTAGCCGACCCTTAGCGAACGCGGGATTCGGGTCTCCACTGGACTACCCGATAACAAACACCGGAAGTGCCCACGCTCGTGCCCATCGAGGGTAGCTCGCACATTCCACCCTCCTTCCGAACGCGAAAAGGAAGCGTGAGGGTCGCACTCCAAAGTCGGGGGATCCTCGATGGACCTCTCGCTCGTCTGGAGGCTAGAGGGCTTTTCCTCGCAGCCTCGCCGAGACCCCCAGCAACCCGAACTTGCGCTTGGGGCTCTTGCAAATGCGATAAAACTCCTCGCTCAAACGCTGAACGAAAAAGCCCCTCAAGGAGTAACTCCACCCTCCAGGCCTCGGGTTACACTGCCAGGCGGGCCACCAGCACTCCACCGGAACCTCAAGAAACAAAACCTAATTCCTACGGGAGCGGGAATAAACTAAGCCTCGGCGAACCCTCGTGGAGAGTGCACGACTCCCGAGAGGCTCTGGGGCCACCGTCGGGTACCTTAGGACGGGGTACCCCAGCGAACATCAAAGGGGGCACTTTAAGTCCCATCAAAATACAAAGCTAGAAGGTAAGCCAGGGCCCTCACCCGCCACGTCCGAGCCCGCCAGTGCCTCTCGCCTCATCTCGAGCCTCAAGAGAAGGTCTCGGCGTCTGACGCAATCTCCGCCTCATGAGGCTCTTCTTCACGGAAGGCTCCTCGGCAAGAGTCCGATCTCCGTCTCGCGCGAGGCTCCGCCTCCGCCTCACGTAAGGCCTTATTCTCTCAGATTGCGCTTGAGAGGCCGACTTATCCATAGTCCGTCAGCCCGCTTGACCGACCCTCCCGACAAAGACGTCATGTCCCATTAATACTTCAACCACTCCCGCAATCTCCACGGACTACGACTTGACACCACTGAATGGCCGACGGGACTGAGGTCGCATCAACGCCCACATCGTGACCAGTGCCCATACTGGTTTGGATTACCGGCCATCGTGTTTCGACAACAGGCCCACGATCAACATCCACATCAGACTGTGTGCCCATGATCCCGCCTCGAAAACAACATCATCGCTGACTACTTGGCCGGGCCATCATCGCTTCCCAAGCCAAGGCGCCAGATCACCCGCCTCTCCTGAGCCCTCGGCACTATACACCAAGGTCTCGGCTATCTCGGGGTTCGTGCTCACGAGACCCCCATCACTGCATGCGTGCCTCTAAGACCGACCAAGCCTCACCTCACGCCACCAAAATCCACAACAGCCGATCCGCGTCACCGCCAGCCAAGACTCGCCTCCGAGGTAGCCTAGAAGCTCCCATGATGCATGTGGTCGGACGTGACCAAAGACGTCGCCCAAAGGCTCCAAGGACGGACCACTCCGACGACCACGCCGCCACGAGAACAGCCACAGGCTCTCGACACACAGTCCTGTTGGCACGACGCCAGAGATAGTCAAGACATGTACTGCCCTTGTCCTCCCTTCAACTATAAAAGGAGAGGACTTGGGCCCCTTAGGAAAGAAAAATAGGGAGAACACCTGGTAGCTCACACACATACACATCCCAGTCGCCTGAGAGCAAAGTCTCAAGCAGTCCACACGACACATCGCCGAGACCTGAGATTAGCTCCATCTCTCCCTGTGCTTATAACCTCATACTACTAGCACTTCGGTGCAAGGAATACAGGATCGATCTCTCAGACTGAACGTAGAGCATCGATTGTCTGAACCAGTATAAATCTTGTGTCTCTTTATATCACCATCTAAGATTAGGAACACACAGTTCAAATTCACCAGTCGAGGACCCGGTGCGAAACACCGACACAGAGAAACGTGCGAATTGAGTCTAAACTCTGAAATCTCTATTTTCATTTTCATTTGCTGGATTGATGAGTAATCTCTGACTGTACCCCGTTATCCCTTGGGCCCCTCTTGCGCTTCTCGTCCCATCCCACCCAAGCGCGGCGGCGCTCCTTCTGCCTCCCCCAGCGCCGGCTCTACTCCACTCCGGCGTCGCCCCCTCCTCCATACCTCCCCACCGGCGCCACCCTCATCCCGTCACTCCCTCCTCAGCTGAGTGCAGCACGTGCTGATCAGGTGCATGAAACCCTGTTTCAGTTTGATGTATTCGACAGATTTTGTGCTTGGTATTTGCGCTGATTTGCTCCGATTTGTTCTATTCTGTGATTGGCTTGGTTAGCTCACTCTCCTTCGAATCCGTTCACTTCTTCACAGTGGGTGGGCGGGAGATGGTGCTGAGGCGGGCGGCGGCCGAATGCCCCAAGAAGGTTGCGGGGCTGATGGATCTGGTGAACCTGTCCACCCAGTTGCGAGAGTTCGCCGGGGGCCGGTCCCAAATGTCCCATATCTCCTTCTTCCTCCGGGTCTGGTCGTACATCAAGGACAACAAACTTCAGGTACTACTTCCAATCTATGCGTATAGCAATAGACTGGGCCCCTTCGTTTCTTTCCGAAGAAATCTGTAATTAGTCGCTAAGGTTGGTGCTCCGTGTTAGCTGGGATCATTATTTATTGCGACAGGATTTGACTGCTCGCTCGTCAGAGTTAATTTGCACTGACCTTGGATAGAACATTGATTGGGGGAAAACATGAAGTTTTGGGCTAATGGGAAAACAGCAGAATGGCAGCTGATGCTGCCAACATATCGTGAGATGAGAGTTCAGAATAGTATTATTATTAGTAGTAGTATTATATGAAGAGATTATGTCATTTCCAAAATCTAGGTGGTGTTTACAGGTGTGGGAATTGATCTGTGCGGTGCCAAATGACGTTTTGATAATTCAGGACTTTTGTCCACTTTGCCACTATATGCATAAAAATGCTTAATAATGCTCTTCTGTGTATTTATAGCTTCTACTTGGTTAGGATGAGAACCTTTGACGTTTGGGTTCTTGATAGCTCAGCATTTGAGATTTCACTCCCTTCATGCTGCTTGGTATTCCACCTGTTTCCAGATCGTCCATGTGAACTGACAATGGAGGAGGCACCCTTATGTTCAGCGCTTTAATTTAATTTGGAGCTGATAAAGTAGTTATGTTTCCATGTCGCACCCCGTTTATATCTGGTTACACCCAGAAATATGCCAAAAATGGGCATTAGTAGCACTTTGACATGTGTTTCGGTATATCACTTCCATGTTTCTAATGCTCCTTAGTGGAAACCTTCAAGCATACTGTAACATGTATTGATTCATAGAGATCCCTCATAAGAGGCACTGAACAGTGGTTTATGTAGCTAGATAATTCATGCTTAACATCAATTGTTCTGCCATACTCCTCGTGTGTAGTTGGTCCTGACATTGCTAATGTTGGGGGACAGATCCCTGAACAAGAGGGACCCTTGGAACATTAGCGGGTTCCACAAGTACTTGTGTTATTTCTCAAACGGGCCTGTTCGCTTGAACTTATCAGCCGGCTTATCAGCTAGAATCTACAATACTTTTCTCTCACAATAAAATAGCTTCAGCCGGCTTATCAGCTGGCTTTAATACCAGCCGAACAGGCTTGCTGCTTTAAAATCTATGGGTAGGGGTTGTTTACAGTTGATGTGACCTCTCCCTTGTCTACTATAAACTCACACACCCCCTTCCTACTGTCGAAGGGTATGCTATTGTCTTTTCTTGCTCGTAGCCCAGGTCATCCTCTACACTGTAGTGTGCCCTGAGGCCAAGGGTGGGGTCATCCCGTATGTTTGTCCCTCAGTCGACATAACATCCTGTTCATCCTTGGCACTTTTTTGGAGGGTGGAGTGCGAAGACTAGAGACCACCTTCCCTTGAGGAGGGCTCCTTTCTGAGGCCCAACTTCATCATAAGGGTCTCCACCTTTGATCCAAAAGCTGACTCTATGTTGGCCTCTGGATATCTCCCTTCGATGCCTCCTTTGAAAGGTCCACCCTTCCACCAGTTCCTTCCTTCCGCGCATGTTGGGGAGTACCTTTGGAACTTTGGCCAACCGGTCTTTTTGGTTGGCTTTCTATTGGCTCATCTCATTGGTTGCCCTGGGAAGATGGAGGCGACCCACTTTCCGATTCGCTAATAGCCAACAAACTACAAATAAATCTCCTAAGTAGTAATTTACAAAGCAACAATTCAAACTCATCCAAGCTGATGACAACCAGGAGTGGACGATGATGCTGATGGCTTCTTCCCCTGCATGTATTTCTTCCCAAGAAAGTGTCCTCAACCTATCTATCTAAGCTGTGTGCAAGTAAATGATAGTTGACGCCATAGCAATGGTTCCACCCCTGGCAGCAAGAAGGTGAGCGAGTGCTGAGTGGCTTAGATTTGGGGCTAGGGTCAGATCTGCATATGATCCACACAAACAAGCTATAGATTCACCAACGCATCATATTGAACAAGCATGACAAAAGAACAGGGGTTCGTGCTGCTGTAGGAGGTTGCTGATTCATGTGCCCGATTAGTGGTGCAGAGATACACCAACGTATGGGTTTAGGGTGACGGTGCGGTTCGAAGTGGAAGATAGGGCGGGGTGAGGTGATGCTGGTGATGGCTGAGCTGCTGCTTCAGATGCGTCGAACGGGAGACGAAGATGGAGGTGAGCGCAACACGTGTCTACATGAGCAAAACATTAGTTCTAGTTCTCAGCGATGCAGAAAGGTGTGGGCGTGTGTGGTTGAGCGTGGGAGGCGCGTAGCGCTCATGCAGGAGCTAAACGGTGGGCTGTTCCTTTTACCATGTAATGTAAAGCCTAAGCCAGACTGAAAATTCAGTCCAGGCTCATAAACAGACTGCAGAATTGATTGATCTGTCCTCCGGTCTCGTCTTGCCACTTCTAGAAGCGACAATAGGACTAGGAAAAAGTCTATTTCTTTTAATACTTTTATTAGGTGATAGATTGTCCTATGGTTTTGTGTCAATAGTAATGAGAATGGGAACTTTATTTTGGCACGAAGCATGAAGCCTATTTTCATTTTACCACTGAATATTTTGTTTTTTTGCCATTCTTTTTATTAGGAGTTATCTTTTCCCCCACACGGGCCAAATATTACATGTTAGGCCTTGTTTGGATGTCCATGTATCCACCCCAATCCATTTGTGTTGGGGTGGATTGGTGTGAAATTTAAACACACATGGATTGAGGTGGCACCAATCCACCCCAACACACATGGATTGAGGTGGATACATAGACATCCAAACAAGGCCTTAGTGATCTAGTGTATGTCAGAATACTAGTGCACCATCTTGACCAAACTGTTTGTGTTTCCACTGGTTCTTTTGGGGTCTATTGTTGTAGTTGGGCACTGGCTAAACTGGTACGAGGAAAAACTGACAAGCAACTCATTCCTTGTACCTTCCTGACCATATGGCTGTGCAGATGTGCAGATTATGATAAATAATAACTCTGAAATGCCTTCTCACAGCCTGAATCTAAGTATGTAGAAACAGGGAAAAAAACACTAGGATTCACTTCCGTAAAATGGTGAAAACCATACTAACAATCAATTGTCAGTTATTGTGATCCGCTTGTGTCAGAATCGAACAGATTAAGGATTAAGGAAACTGAAAGAACAAGAAGCTGCTTCTACTGTAACAGAACCTGCTATCAGTTGGCTGCCACTTCCAGCTATTTGTGCGAAAATGAAGAACAGTGTTTTGTTTTGTTATAGGGCAGACCCAGTGCCGGAGGCTCTTAGTGTTTTGTTTTGTTATAGAAACTACAATTTACATTATGTGGCTTCATCATTATTTTCTTTTGAGATGGTAATAACTATCCTGATTTGCAGGACGCGACGAATAAGAACATTGTGAAATGTGATGAGAAGCTGAAGACTGTATTATTGGGCAGGTCCACAGTGGAACTCTCTGAACTCCCAATGATCGTTAAGCTTCATTTCCCAAGATTTTCAAGGTAGTAGCAACTGACAACATGGTATTGTATATTGAAATTTTGTGGGAACTTGATGGGATAGACGAAATCATATAATCCCTCCATACTAAAAAATGAAGTCGTTTTGGACAGCAACACGGTCTCCAAAGTATAACTTTGACTACTTATTTTTATAAAGATATTTATCAAAAAGTGATATATGTAAATTTTTGTGAAAGTATTTTTCAAGACAAATCTATACATATGGTTTTCACATTTTCAAACTCAACAACTTAAAAGTTATTCATGATTTATATTCCCAATGTTCAACCCAAGCCTTGTCCAAAACAACTTCATTTTCGAGTATGGAGGGAGTATGTATTGTTTTGCTGAAATTTCAATTTATCGGCTGTATGTAGTGGAACGAACGATATACATTGAGTTCGCCACTTAGTTTGCTTGTCTTTTTGATAACCTGTTTGAAGTATCAATAACTTTGCTTAAGTTTAACTGAAGCGCCCAGACGGCCGACCAGCCCCAGCCTTGGCCACACTCTGCAGTGCCCCGGTAGGGATGATGATGGGATACAACCTATATCAGTGATCCTGCTTTCTATCCCATACCTATATGTTTTATCTCATATCCTATATTTAATACCTTATTTTTTCTCGGATCTTAGAGCCAGATACGAATACGTCGGATATTGACATCTATCTCATATACATATAAGAAATCTGATTTTAAGTATTTGGATTCAGATATGATTGGATATTAAATATTCGGATTCAGAAACAGACTATCCATATAGAGGTGCAAAAAATATCCGTTCCATTTTCATCCTTTCCCAACCGCCCCTCAGCCCATGGCCTCGTCTTGCTCCTCTGCCCATAGCTACATACATATATATGTTGTCCTCACTTGGCAATTGCTCCTGTTTCAAACCAAACATATCCCAATGAGTGAAGGTATATATAGTATTGTGCTGATGTACTGCTGTAAGAGATAGTACCATGGATTTTCAGAAATGACTTCAAGAAACAGAAAATTGGAAGCAAGAGATGGTTTCTTTTAATTGTAGTACTAACATTGAGATGTTATATGTATGTTGCTTTTGTGGCCCTCTACAGACTGGGATGATGTAAGTTGCTCAGTTTTTTTTTCTTTACACACCTTCCTTCTTGCTAGCTTGTTTTCTGGCAAACTTTGTGAAGCAACTTGGCCTTTATTCAGCCTTGTAGCATCAGCTTTTGATGTCGCCCTTTTTGGTCGTGTAGTCTCTCTTGTGTTCGGGGTGACTTGCCTAATGAAACTACAGAACTACAACAAAAAATTCAGATTTCAAGCCAAACTTGAAAGTTCACATATATTAAGACATTAGAACCATAGTACATAGTTTTGGGAAATAAAATCCCAATTACATGGTAGAAACCACCGAGCAGCACAGAAGAAAACTATGCCTACTTCGAGACACTGCATCCTAAGAGCAGAAACTAAGCAAGTAAATTTGAATAAGTCCTCCAAATTCGAATCTCTCAAAGGCGTCCGAAAGTCTTTCGAATGCCCCATTGGGAACACGGTGAATACTATCACCAGGTAATGGTGGCAACCACCGAGGGCCTCCCTTATGCATTGTAGCTGTGGAGGTTGGAAGCTGAGCCGAAGATACGAAATTAGCGATGGCGGACTCAGACAAACACCTCTGTAGAGATGATGAATCAGAGGTTGCATCCAAGGATTGAACATGAAATCCACCCTAGCAAGGACGAGGAGCCTCGAAGAAGCAGCACGGCAGGTAAGCGCCTTACATCGCACCGGAGTAGAACATGGACCAGTAGACACCACAAAGCAACTGTGAGCCTCGGACGTCAAGGCGGCCGGGGCTGCACCGACGGCGTCAGCAGCCACCCCAACGGCGACCGGGCATGGAAGAACAACTTCGTCGGGGCCATGTGAGGGCGACCTGCAAGGCGTGTGGTGACATGGTCGATGAAGGTTCAGTGACGCTTGGCGCAAGGCTGCACGGGGTTGTCCAGCAGGAGACCCGATCTAGAAGCGCAACCACCAAATCATACTCGAACCCGGACGGATCAGGGGCAACGGCGATGGAGCTCAAGCAACCATGGGCGCACAAGGGCGGAGATGGAACTGCTTGAGAGAGCGGACTTGTTTTATCTCTACTGACCTTGGAAGCGACACCATCGGACGAGGAAGACTACAGCGACGACAGCGGCAACATCACTTTCCCCGAGGGGAGACACCCATCCGGGCAACCTACAAGTACTAGCTACTGACTAGGCGGGGCGGGGGCTCCCAGCCCACTCCGGTAGGGATGAAAACGGATCGGATACAGACATATATTACGTTCGGATTCAGATTCGAATACGGATAGAGCTATGTCAGATAGAATACAATTGGGTATCGACATTATAAATATACGATTTGAGTATTCGGATTCGGATACGGATACGGTATCGAATGTTGAATATCCGGACTCGGATACGGATAGATCTAAACTCCTATAAACGGATTCGGTCTCGAATATGGTCGAAAAATATACGTACCGTTTTCACCCATACACTCTGGCAAGCTTGCCGGCGGCGGGAGGGAGGGGTCCGGCTGGATCTCGTGGGGCGCTTAAGAAGGAGGAGTAGCTGTGTTTCGTGGAATGCTTCAGTCCCCGGTCGTCCGAAATTTTCGTGGGTTCAGCCAAACTTCATTATGTGTTAGTGCTTAAGATAGAGTGCTACCTGCTTAGAGTGCAATGGAGTGCCATCTGCACAAATGATCTGCAGTGTGGTTATAACAACGTAAAGTTCAGAGTTTCATGATTAGAAATAAACAAAGGAACCACTTTTAAGTCTAGGGATCATACACTTTGCCGAGGCCATGGTATGCAGCGAGCAGTAGCACTTCCTAGATTTTGTATCTTCCCATGTTCACGAGGCAATATGGTTGTTTGTTTATAAACAATGCTGACAAGTACATCAATTTAATCCACCAATGGTTGACCATGATTCGCTTTAGCTTTCCTATCAGTTTTCTGAATGGTCCCTAGTGCCACTAGCTTTTTACTATCTGGAGATGCCCGACCAACGTCCATACTACACTTTATATCTTACATATCATCCTACAAAGATTACTATTAACTCTATCATCTATCTACTATTTGATTAGAAAAGACTAACATGAGAAAAGACAACAGTCACATTATGAAAGTGGTGTCTGAAATTTTCTTGGTTTCTTCGATGTCTCTGGAAGGCATTGCGGAGGTATTTTGTCCTTGGTATTTTCCAGAAGTGTGTGATGTGATGTAATTCTCTTTCTTTTTTGCAGACTTGGCAGGACAACATTCCTGGTTTCCTAATGATTGAAGAGAAAACTAATTACAAACCACATCTAATTAGTAAATCAACTTAACTAGACATTGTTTACCTCATGTTCTACTCCATGTCTCCTGTTTGAATGTGAAACTAATTCTTGGTTATCAATTATCATCATTCATGTCATGCAAATGTTGCCCATGTACTGTACCAACCCTTGGACTAGTTTCAATAGGAGGACACGTTTGGGAACCTAAAACTTGACTTTTCAGTTCGTTGTATTGCTGGTGCAACTTAGTTTGATTTGACATTAGAGTTTTCAGCACATCCCAAAGCTTCTTATTTTCTTCTTTCACTTCCTGCATTTCAAATAAAGCTTCAGATATGCGAGCAGAAGCCCACACCACCTGCTAATAGACCTAGGCCAGTCATTCTTCCACTCCTCTCCTTTGGGAACAATGTAGAGAATAAATAGTAGGCATGGGTTTCCTCAGCAGTCAAAGAAGGATCTTCTTGAAATCTTCTTTGGATTTCATCCTTAAAAAGTTATTACCAAATAAATTTGTCAGCCTTAAGTAAACTAATAACTAGTAGGTGGAAGAAAACAACATACAATTTTTTCACCACTGTAATCATCAATTGGCTGTCCATTTTTTCTGGTATGTGTTGCTATACAGAGCTCAGCATGGCCTATGTGTTCCTATATAGAGCTCAGCCTCAGCACCGCTCCTAATCCATTTGTTCTCGTCACTCATCTGTGCATTCACGGAACCATCTCGTCACCTGTTGCAGCCTCTAATGTCTTTTTATTGGCCCAAGAGGAAAAGTAAAGATGGCTCAAAAGGAAAAAAAAAACAGTCCGGCAAATCACATGATTGAACGCTTAAAAAATTGCCGGCAGGGAGTCGGGACCGTGGAATCTTCGGACATCTTGACGAAAGCCCTTTGGCCCGCAGCCGCAATTGCAGACCAAAGCCAAGCACGTTTGGGCAAATCTTCTAGCCAGGGTATGCTGGTCGCCGGCATTCGGCGCTCTCATCACTCAGTCCAACTAAATGATTCTGTAGATGCGCCGTGCATCGACTGGCGCTCCCAAACCATCCAACGCCAAATATTCTAAGTATACTCCCTGTGCTAACAAGGCTCGAATTTTACCACCGCTAAGCCTCTCCCCCTACTACCCTTTGTGCTCATCTTCTTCCCGCTCAACATCCTGGAAGTGCACTCGTCTGCTTCAGCTTCTGGAAGGGACACCAACACCATCTTGCCTGGCCAAGCGCTTGCTGGCAGCGACAAACTCGTCTGCAGCACCGCCTCAACCGCCGCCTTGTCTCCAGGAAGAACTCGGTGGACCAGGCTCCCGGAGCCTACGCGTTGGAGCTGGACCCGACTGGTGCTGCTCAGTTCATCCTCGTGGAGTTGAATTCGGGAGTGACTTATTGGTCAAGCGGCGAATGGAACGGCCGATTCTTCAACTCGATACCAGATATGGGTGCCTATTCTGAATTTGTCGACAACAGCAGAGAGGTGTATCTCGTGACCCCCTGAGGGACGACAACATGATCATGCGCCTTTCGTTGGAGGTTTCTGGTCAACTCAAGGCGTTCATATGGTACGAGCAGTTGCAGGATTGGTTAATTTCTGCTGTCCAGCCGAAATCTCAGTGTGATGTCTATGCAGTCTGTGGATCTTATTCAGTTTGCAACGGCAATGTAAGCCCCTCTTGCAACTGTGTGAAGGGCTTCTCCATCAAGTCGCTTGAGGATTGGGAGCTAGAGGATCGAAGAGGAGAGTGCATCAGAAATTCTCCATTAGATTGCAGTAACAACAAAACCAGGGGCTCAAGCTCAACAGATGGATTCTACTACATTCCATGCTCTGGACTGCTCCCGAATGCTCGGAGCTTAACGGTTATTACTAATGAAGGTGAGTGTGCAAAGGTTTGCATAAGTAATTGCTCATGCACTGCATATTCCTTCAGTGACTATGGCTGCTATGTCTGGCATGATGAACTGTTTAATGTCAGACAACAACAGTACAGTGACCTTACTAGTACGAAGGCGGAATTTCTGAAAGTTCGCCTTGCTGCAAAAGAGCTGAGGATTTGGGAAAACCACAGAAGGAAAATTCTGGTTTGGGCCGTTACCAGTGCAACTATGCTGGCTTTCTTTGGACTTGTCCTGCTTCTGATGATTTGGAGGAAACAAACGATGCTTTATTGCCGCGTGTCAAACAATGTTCAGGGTGTCAACGGAATTGTTGCATTTAGATACACTGACTTGCAGCAGGCAACAAAAGGTTTCTCATCCAAGCTAGGGAGCGGTGGTTTCGGCTCTGTTTACAAGGAGGTTTTACCGGACGCATCCATCATAGCAGTGAAAATGCTTGACGGTCTTCGTCAAGGGGAGAAGCAATTCAGAGCCGAAGTGAGCTCAGTCAGTATGATCCAACATGTTAATTTAGTTAAACTGATTGGTTTTTGTTGTGAGGGAAATAAGAGATTGCTAGTCTACGAGTACTTGCCAAACGGTTCTCTTGATGTTCATCTATATCAGAACAGTGTCACATTTCTGAACTGGAAAACCAGGTATCAAATTGCCCTTGGAGTTGCAAGAGGACTGGCATATTTGCATGAGAGCTGTCAGGAATATATCATACATTGTGATATTAAGCCAGAAAACATACTTCTTGATGCATCATTCGCTCCTAAAATTGCAGACTTTGGGATGGCAAAATTGGTACAAAGAAATTTTTGCGGAGTCTTGACGACGATGAGAGGAACTGTAGGTTATCACGCACCTGAATGGCTTAGCGGAGTGGCTATTGCAACAAAAGTTGATGTTTATAGCTACGGGATGGTGTTATTGGAAATTATATCAGGAAGGAGAAACACATATGAACAGTGCACTAGTTGTGGGCACAATGATGCTTATTTTCATCTGCAAGTTGCCAATAATCTTCTCAAGGGTGCTGTGGATCCTAAGTTGTCTGGGGATGCCAATATGGAACAGGTTGAACGAGCTTGCAAAGCTGCTTGTTGGTGCATCCAAGACAAGGAGTCCGATCGACCGGCCATGGGTGTGATTGTTCAGATTCTAGATGGTCTACGTGAGGTCGATGTGCCTCCACTCCCAAAGATACTCCAAGCTGTTGCAGGAAGCTTACTATCAACTAGTTTGTAAATTGCATTCTTTTGGCCGAAATATGTATGTTTCTTGGAGCTACGGTACTCCCGTTACCTATTAAGAGGTAATACCAATCACATAATATGTTCTCTAGATCTGGAATACCATTCCTGGCCCTGAACCGGAAATAGTTTTTTATCAAGATGAAACATTGTTTCCTAGACCTAGAATATCACCTCTGTTTAATAAAAATATGTTCTATCATTATGAGATATATGTTCATTACTAAAATTTATTAAAATATAGATCTTGTTTTGAAGGATTTGTTGTAAAAAACGTGTCGGTGTAATCGGAATTCAATTTGGATATTTAGTTTAGCAGCTAATAATTTGGATATTTGAAGGATTTATAGTAAGAAACGCGACGCGGGACTTGTTTATCTTGTGCTTTGCATAGGATAGGTAGAAACACTACTATAGAAAATGTTCGTAGTAATGGCTCAATTTTTTTAGGGGCGGCTAGGGATGGAGCCACCTTTACAGTAGGCGTGCTTGAGATCCACAAGACCAGCCGTCCCTACAAATGACATAGTAGGGGCGGCTAGTGATACGAGCCGCCCCTACAAATAGGTCGATTTGTAGGGGCAGCTCACTCACAAACCGCTCCTACAAATTCAATTTATAGAGCGGCTCAATCACTAGCCGCCCCAACAAATATTTTTGTATTTTTTTAAATATTAGTTCTGCATTTTTTAATAAATGTATTAAAAACAATTTGCTATATTTGCCCGCACATAAAAAATAACTTGCTGATATATATAATGATACATTTTATTTTTAGAAAATAAAAAAGTTATATTTAAAAAATAAAAATATGAATTTGTGAACTTCGAATTGAATTTTAAGACAGAAAATGACCTAAAATGAAAATGTTGTAAATATCAAAGTTGTAAAACTCATCAAGATTTATAACTTTTATTTTGATCATCTTTTCATGTAACTTAGTTTGAAAAGTTCAAATTTTGAATTTCATAAAATGACAACTTCAAACAACATTTGCAAAGAGTAAATGATTTCAGCTGGAAAAGTCATGAATATTAAAGTTGTATAACTCATCAAGATCTAAAACTTTTATTTTGGTCATTTACTCATCCGACAAAGTGATAAGAACATCGTTCACAAATTTTACATATCTCTCGTATAGTTTCATAAACTATATGGTCATTCGTAAGTTTTATGAACAATATTACTATCACTTTGTTGGATAAAGAAATGATCAAAATAAAAGTTATAGGTCTTAGATGAATTCTACAACTTTTATGTTTATGACTTTTTGAGTTCAAATCATTTGGTGTGTCAAAATTTTGTTTGAATGTATCATTTATTGAAATTCAAAATTTGAATTATTCAAATTTAGTCACCTGAAGAATTGACCAAAACAAAAGTGGTAGAGATTGATGAGTTCTACAACTTTTATGTTCATGAATTTTTCATTTGAAACCATATGCTCCTTCAATATGTTGTTCCATGTTTTCATATTTTTAGAAATTTAAAATTTGATTTTTTTTCAAACAAAGTCACATGAGAAGATGACCACAATAATTTGATAGAGCATGATTTTAGAAAACTTTAGAGAAAAAATCATCACATTTGGAGTTATTATGAGAGAGAAAGACTATGAACAAGTGTGATTTCTCTTTTTAATCTTTGGCTAAAACTTATAACTAGTCTTTCTCCGTCGTAATAACTCCAAATCTGATGATTCTTTTCCTAAAATTTTCTAAAATCATTCTCTAACCATTTGTTGTGTTCTTACTGCTACTAGTTTGTTCATCTTTTAATGTGACAAATTTTGAACAATTTGAATTTTGAATTTAAAAAACTACAACTTGAAACCATATTTTGAAATACTAAATGATC